TCTACTCCCATGAGTTCTCCTTTCTCTTAATCAAGGAAGTTATTTAGTTATCGCTTTTCTTATTCTTAGTTATAGTTTAAAACCATCATTTATTCGATTGTACTTAGATTAAGTGAGTACTTGCATTCTCAGTGCTTTAAAATCCCTTAGAATTGGTTCGACAATCTCTTATACTACAACATTTGCTTTAGGAGCCTCAAAAACTCCTAATATCAAGCATCTTCAACCTCTTTTTAGGTTTACCTCTTTAATAGTATCCAGAGACAAATTCATTCTTATCCAACTCTATTTATTAATCTAAAATAGAAATTGCTAATTTTTCTCTATAAATAGGAAAAATATAAATTCTTTATCTTTTTTCTCTATGTTAAAAATTACTAGTATTTAGAAGAATATATTAGAGTAAATTCTATCTCTATAAGAGTTTCTCTATTTTAGAAGTAAAAATAGTAAAATATATTAGAGATGGTCTAACATAGTCAAATATATTAGAGATGGTCTAACATAGTAAAATATAAACGATTAACAACAGAATTAAGTTGTAAAACAGTTATCAACACAGTATAAATTCTTATTTCTGTCGACAATGATCTTTATGTCTTTGGTACGTTGATAGAGAGAAGTAATATTGGTCTTGGGTAGAAAATCGATGAAAAGTGCACAAATACTAGTTCTTCTTGGATTCAAAAAGGTTAGGTCTTTGAATACTGTGTAAAGAAACTACATCTACAACTTTTGGACGTTAATTAGGTTATTAATTAGGTTGTTCAAAACGATGTTCAAAGTCTGTCTTGTTGCAAATTCTCTTATGGATTTAATACTAGTCCCCCATCTTCCATAGTATTTATCAAATCTCTTAACTCCACATCCATATTATCAACAATGTCATTAACCTTTTGTGGTAGTTTTACCAAAAAAGCCCTATGTGGTAGTATAGTGTCAGCTATTTATATTTCTAATATTTTGTTTCTTTCTCAAGATTTCGAGAACAAAAAGATTATAATCTTTTTGACTATAAGAATGGATAAAATTAGCAAACTTATAAAAAATGATTAGGATTAGTGACTTTTGTTTTTTTTTCAACCTTTAAAACTAAAGAAAACTGAGAATAAAACCTTACTAAGTTTACAAACAAAACCAAACATTCATGAACCTAACGGTTTGCGCCTGCAGGTGCATTATTTTATGAACAATAAAATACGTGTTTTGAATAACTTGTTTATAAATCGAATGATATTTTGTAAATCTCAACGCGATTTTGTTCAGTTTTAAGAAATTGATTAAAATGTTTCAGGTGATAAGCAAATGATATCACTGAAAAAATTCGAGTATTTGTCAAATGTTTGCCAAAGCTTACCAAACAATAAACACCATATGTAAGGTTTCAAAGTTTTTATTATCCATCACTTATATAATCTTTTTTTTTATATATATATATATATAACATTTAAATTAATTTTTTTTTGTAAACTAATTTTAAATTATTTCATGTACAAATTAAATTGTTATGTTCGCTAAAATTAGGTATACGACATTTACATCTATCTTTAGTAAATCGACAAGCACTTCACTATATTCATGTGCAAAAATTCAGTCTTGTTTTCAAGCCAGTGGTAAAAGCGAGACCACTTTTGACTACTATCGTGCAACAAAACATATGTTTTACTAGAAATGTGTGAAACCACACTCATTCGTTCATGCTATATAAACATTAAGTAGTTTCATTTTGGGGTGCGGCCAATAAATAAACAATAATTTGATAAATATTTTTGTTTCTCTTTTGGAAAATTTTAATAAATAATACTCCAGTTGTTTGTAAGACAAAAAAAATTATAAGTTTCTTTTCATGTGTTTTTATGAATTAATAATGGTAAAACAAAATTTTTGTAAAATTAATTATCTTTATTAAATTACTGTTAATTTAAAATCATATTGAAAATAGTTAATCACTAGATAATGTATTTATTATCAAAGTTTAATATATATATGTTATTATGCATAACTTACAAAATATATACATTTCAGAAAAAGGAGTATAATTAATCGTTTACCATGTTTTTTGTTTTTCTCTGGCTTTAGTTTTTTAAATAAGACAAAAAAATTTGTGAAAGAAGACAATGTTTATCACCAAAGTTGAAGTGTATGAATTTTTAAATTCGGCTCACCGTAATCCGGTTAAAACAAGTGTTGCTTTTTAGACATTGAAGTCGCTGACCTAAGATGCTTCGCAGAGATTCTGTCCCGATTAATTTTTATATATATTTCATTTTAAAAAATAATGGGAGATATATAATGATAATTATCCCATATTTTAATTTAATCTGTGTCTACCCGTTAAAACACGAGCCTCCCCAGCATTATTATTCTCATAAGCACTCTACAAAGTTTAAAATAGTGAATGCATAAATTAATAATAGAAAGAGGAACTGTTGTGTGAAGGAGAGATTGGTTGAAGTTTTGATGTGAATGTCTTTCAAGCCAACAAACATTCACGTTGGAGGTCATTTCTAAAAGGACTCTCGGTCCTAATTAGGGTTTCACGTCATTCTCACTTCGATAGTATATTATCCTAACATTACACACACTCTCTCTCTTAATGTTTTTCATTCTTATTTATATAATTAATTGCCTAAGAAACTTTTTTGTTTCGTTTTCCGTATGTGTTCAAAAAGTCAAATATAGGCCGCCATATATATGATTTTCTTTTAACCATATATAATACTTATATGGGTTATATAATTTTTAATTGTTTTGGGTTTATAGAATTAGAAGGTAATTTATTTTTGAATTGTATATATTCTAAATATCTATTAAAAATATGTAAGGTATATACTAGCGTTGGTTCTTTTGACTTTGATGTAAAATTTCTAACTCGTTTTTATTCAAGCGATAAACATTGAGTATATCTTTCAGTTTAGATCATATACCTATTTGGACTATGATAGTTTATGATCTATGGTATTAATATTTGGGGGGAAAAATTATGGTGTTACCTGGTTTTTATCTATATGAAATATATGGAACTAATACTCTTTATAAAACAGATCAATACAGTTTTGCTTTTTTGTTTTTTTTACAACTTATTATCTGGTGAAACGAAAATACTGTTTTGCTTGAATATTATCTGGTGAAAATCCTTCAATCACGATATATAATAAATATAAAGGATAGTAAACTTCTGTAAAGTTTAAAATAGAGAAAATTGAGACATCGAAAGACTGGTTAATATTTTTGACAACTTATTTTATAAATACTATAAGGAATAAAGAAAGATAAGAGGTTAGAAATATACGACTGTCGTGTGTTAAAGAAAGAAGGGAAGAGTCAATGGAGAACGTGGGGAAACATCTCAAACTGCATCGGACGCCAAGCTATCACGCGCATGTGCGGTGCTCATTCCATTTTTTCTAATTTACCATATTGCTCTCACCATCAAATAACGTCTTTGCAGACGTCTATTTCGAGACGTTGATAATTAACATGTAATGTGCATGTATTCTATATAGTCGAAAATATGGACTTATTTAAACATGTTATGAGGACAAATACAAAGCATACGCGGAGTCGTCATAAATCAGCATTAGTTGTTTAATTTAAATGTTTTAATGCATCTCTACTGAACAATTTAGTCATTTCATTAAAGGTGGTTAAACCCACTTATATCTTCAAATTTACAGATAAGAATTTCAAGACAAATTAAGATTAACATGAAATATTTACGCTCTAGTGTTTATTCTCTCAGTTATTGGCCAAATTGTGAGTAAAACATAATATAAATCATTGAGTCAGTTTAAAAACTGAATGCTTAATATTAAATTATAATTTTTATGTAATTGTTAAAGATAACCCAAAAGTATTAATGTAACACAAATATTACAGAGGAATATTATAGGAATATGGCTAAAGGGATTCAACAAACTTTGTCGTGAGAATGGTTAGTAAAAATGTCGCCAGGAAAGAAAAAACTAAGGCTAGTTGTTTTCTTGATTAAGTTATATAAATATGGTTTAGTTATAGACTATAAGAAAAACATTTAAAGTTAGAATTAAATGAACACATGTGAACAGTGAACACCAACCTCGCTCTCTCCAAAGCCTTCAAAAACCTATTATAAATACGCACCTCTCAAACTCTCTCCCTTTAACTTCAAGCTTTGCTTTCTTCCTCCTATTTCTAAAACTTCAAAAGAACTCTAACCTTAAGCTGTAACGGTTTTAATTAGTTACTTTGGTCGTGATCAAAGTAGAGATGGGCGGTCCAGGATCATCATCACCATGTGCTTCGTGTAAGCTTCTTCGACGACGCTGTGCAAAAGATTGTATCTTTGCACCTTATTTCCCTCCTGACGATCCTCACAAATTCGCCATTGTTCATAAGGTCTTCGGCGCAAGCAACGTCAGCAAAATGTTACAGGTTCCATTTCCCCATAACAACATTATATTCAGTATGGGTTTGGTTAAGTATCGAACTATTTAAAACATGTGTGTCCACGACATTTATATATCTAAACAACCCTTATTCACTTTGATATTATTATGAGTTGGTTGGCTAATTAATTATGCTTGGAAAATTATATGAACATATAAAATGAATAATAACAAGTTGCTTTTATATATAAAAGTCGTTACATGGTTGGTATAAATTGTCACAGGAACTACCAGTTCATCAAAGAGCTGACGCAGTGAATAGTCTGGTTTTCGAAGCAAACGCACGAGTTAGAGATCCGGTGTATGGCTGCGTAGGAGCAATCTCCTACTTACAAAACCAAGTCTCACAGCTTCAAATGCAACTAGCAGTGGCTCAAGCCGAGATTCTCTGTATCCAGATGCAACACGAACAACCTTTACAGTCTCATCATCAAGTACTTGAACTAGACCAAGAAGACAAAGCTCTATTGCTAAACAGCAACAATATCAATAACTGCAACAACGACAATAACAACTTGGGTTATGCCATGTCTTCTGGGCAGTTCAACTCTAATTTTGCCTCTCCAAGCAGTATAATGCAAATGCAGATGCAAATGCAAATGCAAGACCCTCTTAAGCAAGAATCTCTTTGGACTTGATTTGAACCATTGTTATAAAATTAATCATCTTTGTTTGCCAAAGAGAAAATGGGGACAACTTTCGTGTAAGCAAAGTAATATAAGTCAGAAGCTTAAATGCATGCATGTGATGGTGTGAGTTGTAGTTAGAAGCTAGCTTTAGAATTAGAAATCTGTTTTTATTTCACTCTTAATTTGGTTTCTCACTGTATTTTTCTTTCTCTCCATCGTTTGAACAGTGAAATTAGATCTGATTCCAAACCTTGTTTCATTTTCTTTGGAAGTCTTTAAGAATTTTTCTTTATTTTTTTTCTAAAGAAGTCTTCAAGAAATTGCTCTACCCACTACACTTTCATTCCCAAAGAACCGACTCAAAACGTTTTCGTGTTCAGATTAAGAGAAATTATAGATTAGTTTAAAGAATAGATCAATATTTTAGAATACCATTTCTTAGAAAACAAAGCAAGTTTTCTTTTTCGGGAATATATATATATATATATATATATATATATATATATATATATAGTATATGCTAGAAAATAGTAGATTTTGTTTCTACGTGCCATAAAGTGAAGTTGAAATTGAAGAAAAAATAAAGTTGAAATCGACATTTTATTCAAAAACAAATCTACATGATTCAACCTTGACAATTCGTTTGACCTATAGATTAATTATTATTATTTTAAACATTAACACACTATATATTTATTCGACCGACTTGATTTGACTAATAATAGGCAACACGTTATAACCTAAAGTCGGATGTACTGTTGCTTTTGTACTAATCCGTTTTAGCAAATAATTTTAAATTCATCAAATTCAGTTAGAAGAGAGGAGGAGGTGGTGTCGAATTTGATTATGTTATCTCCATTGCTAGTGTTCATGTGATCAGTAGACAAAAAATTCAAAATATTGCCTGTCGACAGGGGAAAGAATCTTATTACTAAAAATAATCTATCATGTTCTTCTACAATTTTTTTATTTGATTGTTGTAATACCCTTAGCTTGTTTTTAACGAACGAACCAAGCCACAGAACTTATCACTGTCGTATTCATATCGTAATCGTTTTTCTTTTGGCTTTATATATCCTAAAAGTTTTTTATTTGATTGTTGTAATATCCTTGAGCATTTTTTTTCTTTTGAAGTACTCACACAGTTCACCATTTACAGCAACCGAAACCGAGTTGAGATGCATAGGTGAATCAGATTTTTGCAACATATTCATGATGAAGTCCCAGTTTACTGTACAAAAGCCTTCTTTAGGTCTATTTTGAGCATATATCTTTTGGAGATGGATTTCAAGTTGTATCTTTGGACAAGTCTGTTGCCAGCAGAACGTTCTCTACAAGCAAACAGCCTCGAATAAACTGTATTACAACCTATTAGTGGGCATATTTGATATGACTTTATAGACTGTATTACAACAGAAAACGGGCCTACATTATGATAGTCTTGGAGCATTTGACTTTTTGGGCACAAGAGAGATGATTGTGAAGTTCCATTGCTTAAGAATACGACCTGAAGAAATAAACTCCATGACCCCATCAGTCATATACTCATATCATTTCCAGTTGACGCCCAAGAAGCTTTATAAAACTCTACAAGATAGCCATCCAGGCCCGGTGCCTTACTCTTTGGGAGAAAGAAAAAGTTTCTTGTATGTCAAGGCGAGTGAATGGAGCAGAGAGTAGGTCAATCGACTCTGGAGAGCACCTCATGTTTACAAGGAAGCAATCTTCTGAGGCGACGAAGTGGTGAGAGATACTGAGCCGCCCACTAAGTTTTGAAAGTAAGAAACTACATGGATCATCAAGAAGAAGATCGATCTGGTTTTGTTCTCTCCTGATGTTGATAGCACGAAGATAAAACGCTGTTTTGGCATCGCCCTCAAGTGGCCATTGTATCCTAGACCGCTGGTGCAGGAAAGAATCTTCAGCCCTTGCGAGAGTTCAGTCATTTTCACTCTTGGTTCTCTGCCTATTAGATACCTTGGCCTGACTCTGATGCACATGATGCTTCGTCTTTCAGATTATAGACCTCTCATTGATAAAGTCTCCAGCTGTTTCACTAATTGGTCTGCTAGAGCTCTTTCTTATACAGGAAGAAGGAAACTAATCTTCTCAGTTATAATATCTTATGCGATCCTCCCCTTTCTCCATGTTCTGTCTTTCTATCTCTGGTTCATTAGCCATCCCATGATGCTGTCTGAAACCCTGATTCCCTCTGACCTAAATATCTCTTGCACGACAAAGTGGACTAGAGTTGTCTTCCCATCTGTGCACGTAACTTCAGAAAGCTTGAGCAGAGCGTCAAGCTTGAATGCTTTGCGCCACCACGTGTGGTTCATACATTCATCTTGTTCCAATCTTAAAGGAGTCTACTAGTGAACAAATTCTTAAATGGTTTTCAACCCCTAAACCATAACATAAAATTTTAGCTAAATAATTATAAATACGTCATTAAACTAATATATAAAATGTTTACTATATACAAAAATAAATATTTATATGTCAAATTTAATTTTTTATAAAAATATTTAAGATTCCAAAATCAAATCCTAAGAATACCGACATTTACTTGAACATATTTTACTGGACATAACTAATAGACGATCATGACTTACAAACTTTGTTCACTCATCTATTTGGAAAACAATTCAATTTTACTAAAGGTAAATTTTACATGAATTAAAATTGTTTATATTTACATGATTCATTTTATTTTTCATCAAATTATTTTTCATAATTTTATAATTTTAAAAAACAAATAAATACATAAATAGACTTCGTAAGAGGGTTTCGAGTAGAAGGCTTCGTTGTTTTGAGAAGAATTCCGAAGACTATAACCATAGCCCTGTTCAGTATTCAGACGCTGCCTTTGTGGAAAACACCGCTGGCAGCCATACTTTCCACCATTAAAGTTAGACACAGTTCTCGTTTAACTGCCGCTACTTTACACAGCATCACAGAAATCACCAACAGCCTTTGTAATACGTAATCGCAGCGACAGCTCGTTTGTTCTCCACCATTTATTTCTCCTAATTTGATGAGTAAATTTTGAACGCTGGAAGTGGTCGCAGCGTCTGGGTACCGAACATAATTAAAATTGTTTACAGTTTTTTTGTGTGATCATAAGAATATAATTCTAACTTTTTTACCCTTTTTAAGTTAATTTTGCATTTTATTTATTTATTTTTTTGGTCAAATTAATTTTGCATTTTTATTAAATTTAGGGGAAAATAGCATAAAAAACCTTCGAAGTGACACTCACTAATAATTTAAACCTTCGAACAGGGTAAAAGTGCTAGTGAGTGTCACTTTGAAGGTTTTTTATGCTATTTTCCTTTAAATTTAAAATAGATAAGAAAATATAAATTAAAGTTTTAATTTTTTTGGGCAAATCTCTCGATTAAAAAATTCATCTAATACAGTTATATTTCTATTAACTCAGTAGTTCTCCATTTTTATCCGCTCATATTATCTCTTATAATTAATTTAGACCCTAAATAAAAGGATTCCAAATCTCGTATAGCTAATTTAAATATTTAAAATAAAATAATAAAAAACTAAATTAATTATATAACTTTTTCATGCGGTAAGCAAAAACTTTTATTTATCTTAATTATTATTTGTTTTGTAACAAAACAAACACTTTTAATACCTACATTTTATTACGTATTCACTTTTGGAGGATGAGGACGAGGACATTTTGAATCACATGTGGCTTTGTCGTGCCAACAAGGATTACCTTTTAAGGATGCACAACACCAACCTTGTCTACTAAACCACCTTACATGATAACAATTTGAGTCTATGATTATGTTTGATTTATCTATTTCTCTAATATCCGTCCTCGCACCTTCACATAATAATCACACATCAACCAAACGTTAACAAGATAAAAACGAAAAAACATAAGTAATATATATATATATAATTGCAAATATCTATACATACACTGATGCAATGTAAATAGGGAGATGAGGAATATGCATATGAGAGCTGTCTGCATCTTCATGGTTTTCTTAAACAACAATATGTGATATCCTTAACTTCTTAGTAGTGTTGTTTCAAAAGATTTGTGAGTTCTTCTTCTTTTAAAGTATGCTATTTAAATGAAAATTGAAAGTATTTTGTTTATTTTAATCATTTTAACGAAGTAACATATATGTAATCATTAATTATCAACTAGATTGTTAAATGTTTCTATTTTATCCAAGATATGTGTGTATATATATTTCTTGTTATTAACTAATTTATTAATACTATTATGAAAGTATTTTTAAATATAAGAAAACTAAAAAAGAATATTAAGAAACAAATAAACACTAAAGTGTATATGTTTTATAATAAAGTATATGGTTTTTTTTATGGATTTAATAAAAATTACGTGTACCAATTAAGATACTAGTTATTATATTTATAGTTATATGATTTATGATATTTTTGTAGAATAATTTGAAAAATAAATTATAGGGATTCCTTGCATTTGCACCCAGTTATTATTTATAGTCATTTAGAATGTTTTAGATTTTTATTTTTCTATTATTACTTATCTATCATTTTACTTATTTATTTTAATTTTTGGAATATTCTTAACTTAGGGAGTTTAACTATAAAATTTATTTGAATCATAATATTAGTTTCTTGATATTATTAAATTTATTTATTTATTTTTAAAATATTTTATTCTCTTTCAATCTATGTTAATTAAAATGCTTATCATAATTAATATATTTAATCATACACTAAATATATTTAACATCTAAAATTATATTAGATAATTTTATTATGTTTTAATTTTTCAAATAATTTTAACTATTACAATAAATTGGTATCTTTTATATAGATTTTTTTCTATCATTTCTATTTTTTATTTATGTACATGTTTTACATATTATTTACTTTCTGAATGTTAATTATAAAATCTATTGTAATCAAAATTTATATTATATAATTAATTTGATAAATTTCAGTTTTATTTACATTTATTAGATAAAGTAATAGTCATAAGTAACTTT